TCCCTACACTCATGGCAGGACTTAGTATATGAGTCCTGCAAAGATTTGTCTAACCTGCTCTTAAAATTATAGAATCATAGAACCATACAGCTGGAAGAGACCTCAGAAGGTCATCAAGTCCAGCCCCCTGCTCTAGGCAGGATCAATCCCAGCTAAATCAACCCAGCCAGGGCTTTGTCAAGCCGAGACTTAAACACCTCTAGGGATGGAGACTCCACTACTTCCCTAGGTAACCCATTCCAGTGCTTCACTACCCTTCTAGTGAAATAGTTTTTCCTAATATCCAACCTGGACCTCTCCCACCACAACTTGAGACCATTGCTCCTTGTTCTGCCATCTGTCACTACTGAGAACAGCCTCTCTCCATCCTCTTTGGAACCTCCCTTCAGGAAGTTGAAGGCTGCTATCAAATCCCCCCTCGCTCTTGCTTCTGCAGACTAAACAGACTCAACTCCCTTAGCCTCTCCTCATAAGTCATATGCTCCACCCTCCTAATCATTTTGGTTGCCCTCCGCTGGACCCTTTCCAGTGCGTCCACATCCTTTTTTTAGTGGGGGGGCCCAGAACTGGACACAATACTCCAGATGTGGCCTCACCAAAGCCGAATAAAGGGGAATAATGACATCTCTGGATCTGCTGGCAATGCTCCTCTTAATACAACCTAATATGCCATTAGCCTTCTTGGCTACAAGGGCACACTGTTGACTCATATCTTAGGGGACGGAAATCCCACAGCCTCAGTGGCAGACAGTTTACTCCAGTGCTTAGCCACCCTGACAGCAGCTTTTCCTAATGTCCAACCTAAACCTTCCTTGCTGCAATGCAAACCCCCTGATTCTTGTCCTGTCGTCGGTGTGGCAGAGTACACTTTTTCTGCCTCCGCCTCTATGCACGCCCTTTAGAATGCGCCTAATGCAGCCCTGGCGGCCACCCTCAGGCCGTGCGTCCCCTTTCCTTGCCCTGGGAAGCAAGAGCTACTAGCCAGACTCCCGGGGAAAGCAGAATTCCCAGGGGGGGCCGGGATTGAAGCTTCCAGGGCAGGTTCCAGCCCCTCTTTCGGCGCCTTTCCAAGCCCGACGGCGGCAGAGATGGAGGGCAGCCCGTGGCCTTAGAAACCTGCGGCCCGTTTCGATCGAGCGACACAAGCCGGGGCAGCCCGGGCTCCCGAGGGAAAGAAAAGGTCCAGTCGCCGGCGGCAGGGGGGCTGAGGCGCAGGCTGGTGGTGGGGGCCGGGCGGGCCCGCCCCCC